CTGATGATGCTGCATCCAGAAATGATGATGTCACATCTTGCGATGCTGTGGAAGTGAGTGGCTTGCCTGAAGCATCATCTAAGTCAGCAATAAATTTAGACATAAGAAGTTCAACAGATGAAACTCTTGAGAAAGTGGACAGTGACACGTGGCGTGAACTGGAAGTTGCAATCCAGCCTGAAGCTTCTAGCTCTTCCTTGCCAGAAGCAGGAGTAGGATCAACGGAAGAAAGAGAGGTAACCATGAAAGAAGACATGACTTCAGCTTATCCTCTGGCTGTTTAATCTGAAGCTCTTACTCCCTCACGATTTCTAATAATTCTCTTCCCCCAGGTTGGTAGTGCTGAGAGTTAATGTCCATTCAGAATTTTTCAAGGAGTGTATTTAAATCCAGCCAAGGGATTATGGTGTTAATGTTCCGGATCTGGATGTTTTGCTACATTTATATTTTCTCCTGAGTAAATGAATACTTGTATGGCCTAACTTGTTTGGCATTTGTTGGGTTGCATTGTCTGTGTTACTCAGAATAATTCAAAACCAAGGCATTAAGTAGCATTGTTAAGGTAAAGCAGGTTTGACTTGAAATTTATGTTTTACAGGACCAAAGTATCACCAGGAAAGAGGATCCATATCAGATCGATGAATACTTGCAACTCAAACTTGAAGAGGTATTTATAACCAGGCTTTTGTGTATCAAGGCAGGGGTTAGTTCAAAGAGGCAGGGTTGATATATTCAACAGCTCATTTACTGGCTCTAAACATTGCTTGACTTAACCACATGCTGCCGGGTGCTTTTAGATTTTTGGGAGATTTTCAGTTTTCAAAATTCTTAAAAAATTCATCATTTCATTTAATGGACGTTTACACCCACACAAGTGATTGTTTGGTGGCTACTCTAAGCTGACAGCTAACCTTCATTGACTCCTGAATATTTCAGCCAGGCCTGCCGCCCTGTAAAGAGGGACAAGAATTGTGAGGTGTTGCGTAATTTTCTGTGTCCCCAGTGAATGCGAGTGGTGTCTTTGTAAACACAGCTGGATTAGCATGCAGCGGTGCTGTGTCGCTAATCAATGGGGCCCTGGAGCACTTTTGTCTGCGGTGCTAATCCACGGGCGCGCTAGGCCCAAAACAGTGGTATACTGTTTAAAAACAGTGATGGATTACCTTCGAAAAATGCAAGACAAAAAATGATGGCAATTCCCAGCAGCTGGTTTTTTGTTCCAAGTATGGTCTTTTACATGGACCAGCACTTTTGTCCCATTTTGGGCACCCATGGTGCTCAAAACGGGGTTCCCCGGCAGTTAAGAGGTTAAAATGGGCCACTCAAGTTTTGTTGCTGGACCATATAAACAACATGGTAACCTCATACAATTTGATGTTCATTGATTTGTAAAACTGGTCCTATTGCAGGCATTTTTCCTTTCATATGGACTGGGATGTTTGACAGTTCTGGACGAAGCTAAGGTGGGAATTTCTTATTTTGTATCTTGTTGGGACACCCTGTTCTTGTAAAGCCAATCACAGTTTTAAGAACAGCCCAGTACACGTTACTAGTCATATTCATGTTTGGCAACAGAAAGTGAATGAACAGTAACCGTCCCTACGACTTTTACTGTCGAAGGCACAGAACTGTACATGTTTAAATTAATGAAAGTGCGAGACCAGGCCGTAATGCAAACTGCAAAAGTTATTTGGTTCTATTAGTTGTGGTAACGCAATGACTTTGTACAATCGCTGACGCTAGAAAATTTATGACTACGTACAGAAGAGTTTTTCTGCTGTGGAAATAGTGTAACCTTAAATCAAACTTGCAACCTAAAGGTGATAATTACATGTTCATTAAAATGTCAATTTCATTTAAACAGTTCTGACAGTAATTTGGTTGCCAAAAAAGTGCATTTCCAGAAATGAGTACTTGTAATTCGAAGAACATATTCTTTAAGTTCTTGTCTTGTGAACATTGCCTGGTGGAAAGCTTATACGGTGTACTGAATGATCGTGGACTTGAAAATTTTATTCACAACCTCAGCACCCCCTTAGAAAAATGTGTTCCAGCAGGCATGTCAAAGGGTCCCAGCGATGAATTATTCTGGGATGCACTTTTTGTGCCTCTTCATACTCCTCTGTAGTTTGTGAAAACTGTTTGATATCCTTGTGGGGTTAGGTGTAGTGAAAAACGACTTTTTTAAAAGTTTTAGTGAGTTGTTCAGTGTTCAGACAATAGAGGGTGTTGTTGCTGTGATGTCATTGAGTTGTGAGTGTTTTTGTTCCAATCTTGAACCCAAACTTTGCTCATTGAAGAACACATCGGAGAGGCAGGTGCTTGTTGCTGGTTTTCATTTCACTCATGCAGCGGTCAATCAATTAAGAAATGGGAATTTGAGGCAGCAAAATACCAAGAATTCCATCAGTTTGTTTGTGTACTGGAAGTGCGTCACGGTATTGCTCTTGAATATAGACATTTGCCTTAACATAATCACCAAAAGGCACCAAAATACCTTTTAAAATGATAAAGCTAAAAAATAAAATATGGTTATTGAAATATAAATACGCATTTTAAAATGTTGTAATAAAACTTTTGGATAGATCCTTTGAAATACAAATGAATGCGTCATTGGTTCCTGAGAGAATTGCTATTCAATATTCAGGAAGGTTCCTTGCGCATAAAATGTTCAGAGCGTTACTCGGAACTCTTGTTTTTTTGTAAACCACTGATGTTGCAGAAAGCCCTGGACCTAACGGACATTTGGCAGGCTTTCTGTTCCAGGCAGAAGAACTTTGTGGCCAGTTACGTAGCCTACCATTACTTCCGAAGTAAGGGCTGGGTGCCAAGAGATGGGGTGAAATATGGGGCCCATTACGGTGAGTGACAATTCAGTTGGTCATTGAAGTTCATTCATACCTTCTCCCTTCATCAGAGCAGTTCTTTAAGCTCACACCCGATAAATTTGGTCTCACCTGTGACGTGAAGTTGGCATGATTGATGCACACTGAATCCGCTCCGAGCGAGAACAAAAGAGAGCGTGTTTTTAATTGACATTGACAGTCCTTTGGTACAAGCTCACCGCAAAGGTGCGCAAGTTTATGTGCGTTTGACGCCTAGTATGCTGAGTACGTGCAATAAATTTATTCGGGAATGTATGGTCTTTGCCCTTGGAAAATTCCTTATCAGTTTGTCCTTTCGCCAGTGAGGGTGCACTTCAACTCGGGATGGATAGTCTCTAATACAGTACACTAGTCACAGCAGAAAGTTGGTCACAGTGTGTACCTTGCATTTCCTTAGTCCGTCAATTGAGTGAATCATCAAACCCTGTTTTGGCAGACAGTCAAATCAGGATGGAACACTGACTAGACCTGAGTTTCGGTGAACCCTTCAGTCAAGCCTAGAGTTTGTATAAAGCATAGTGCACACAACCTACATGTATTTCAACTTTTGAGCGGTTAGTGTAGACTCTACTAAGCCTGCATAATTGCACTTTCAGTGGTAAAAATCCCATCATATACTGTTACTGAAGTGTTCATGACCAACTTCCACCTTCACTGCGCTTTGCTTATTTAGATGCTACCTTTTGTGCTCATTCAGTCGAAAATATTTGCACACCTTAGACATTTCAAGCAGTTGCTCAGCAAATTCTTTACTTTTAAGTTGTGTTTATATTTTGAAAATTTCCAGTCTTGTACAAGCACGGGCCTCCGTTCTATCACGGTAGCTACTCGGTCATTGTCCAGATGGTGACTGAAGGATCATGGGATTGCACCGACACCAGCGCAACGTTGACCTGGCCAGCTCTGTCCGGAATGGACCGGATCACTGAGACGGTTGCGAAGGTCAGTCTTAAATGTATCACAGCCAACAGAGGGCGCTTTTTACAGGCAGTGAAATGTTCTTGGTTCAAATCTTACCACAGCAGATTATTAATTGGCCTTTGTCAATTGATAAATCTCCACCGCAGCCAGTAACTTTGTTAGCCTTTCTGATCAATCGAAAGGACAGCTGATGATCCGCATGCAGCAAAAGGGAAATGAGCCCATGAAAAATTTTTTGTAAATAAGAAACCGATTGGCTAAATGCCTGAATATCATGTATTTTGAATCAATAAGTTTAACCAATGCACAGCTTTGTTGAAGGACTCATTCTTGAATATAGCAATGTGGGGACAGACAGTGCATTGTACCATGGAGGAATAAAACACATGTAGAGCACACAGTTAGCATGGTTAGAAGCTGTGCCGAGTCTTTACATTTAAATGCCATATATCCCCACAGTTCAACTGTGTTTCATTGCGTTCCAGCGGGAGTAACAGCACAAGGATGGGCACTCCATCTTATTCTCAACTTGCACCAGTCCTACATTTACTTTCTTCCAAAATTTGGAAAAGGATACTCACAATGTCGGCAAAGCCATGCCGAATAGAATACTCATGTATCCTGAACACATTTTCAAAAATCCGGAAGTCCCCCAAAAGCTAATGAAATCTTACCCCTGATAACTTGGGCCGTTTTCCAATACTCAACTTTGTCTCCATCTCAGGCTTCGTCTTCGAAACCAATCCCCGATTGTGGGCCTGAAGTGTTTAAATTCAATTGAAGTACTGTACTGTTTGGCTCTTTTTCATCTCACTTGATGTTTGGTGGCACTATCAAACTTACTCTTGCGCTTACAACTTCAAAGTCAGGTAGCCTGAGACGGAGCCGGTGTCGAGTATTGGAAAAGGGCCTTGGTTTGCTTCTTGGAAGCCCTAGGTTGTATTTGAGTTAAGAATGGTGTGGCTTTTCTACAGAGTTCCTGAAGCAGGAACCACCTTAGGTGATGCATGAGGATATAACCACATGCGCCATGCTGTCACATTGCCACCCTATATTTCAAGGCAGCTTTTATGTTCATGTAGGAAGTGATGCTCTGCTACGTTATACGGCCGTCAAATCTGAGCGACGAGGACTTGCAGTCGCCTGGATGCATCCCTCAGTTCAGGGTGCAGGAGATCCTGATGAAGCGGTGGGTGTCGTCACGGGAACGGGATCTCAAAGAGCACCTGCCGTCCTTGATATCATGAACAGCTCCCTCTGTTGATAGAGACAGTTACGGCGCATTGTTAAGGAAAGATGGTGATTTCAGCAGCTAATCTGACATTTTTAGAAACCTATGTTTCATATCTATATTGACCTAATGAGATCATGGCCGAATACAGGCCAGTTGTCATAGGAACAGTAACCATGGTAATTTGAAGCCAAGAGTGGTACATGTAATCCTCTGGAATGCTTTCTGAGCTTAGAAATTTTCAGACACAAAGTGGAGCTTTCGAGAAAAGACCCATTTCCTGAAAGTGTGCAGTGTGGCTGTGTGTATTGTTTAGTTTGATAAGGCTAAATGGAAAATGAAATGAGTTGATAACGGAGCTCCAATTATCTTGCAGTCAACTGTGAACTTGTCCCAGGTATTTTTATGCACGCCAAATGGGACGTGTTCACATTTTGGTTGTCATTTCCACCTTTTTCTTCACTGAAATCAGGTCTTCAGACATTGAATTGCATCTCTGAGAGCATTGCAAGTTTTGGGCTGCAAGGAGATTCATATTCAGTTTGAATCCAGTTTCCATCACCGTGTCTCAGGTTGGGGCAGGGGCCAAAAATCGACTTGCTCCAATTTTTTTCCGAAAATATCTGTCCAATTTTTTATTTCATCCATGCAAGAATTCTCAACCCCTTCCCCCCCCCCAAGCGGCGTTTTCATTTCTAAATATGCTGGTGCTTTAAATCCCTTATAAAAAATATTAAAACTTGCAACATGTCTCGGCCGGGGGGGGATTGTTTACTATTTAACCCTCTTTATGGCCCTTGATTTGTTACACGAAATGGTGTTCTTGGCCGCCAACAAGAATGAGGTAGAATTTCAGTGCCTCGGTGTTTCTTGACAATACAGATGTGGGTGAAGCAATTTCAGTCCGACAGCCTCTCCAAATCCAATCTAGGCCAAAAATTGAGGTGTTTCTTTTGCTGGCCTTATGACTGGGTTTGTGGGGCCTTGTATTTGCTGTGCATCCCTTTTTCTCTTACCCTGGGGGCCTGAAATTGAAGTCACTACCAAACGAAGAAGTCAGACCGGTCCCTCAATAAAATACAGACAGTTGCAAGTATTGAAACCTGTCTCGTTAAAGTCGTTTAATTTTCACCCCCGGAATTACCGTCTTATTCCTGCATATATTATTACATTCCTTTTCAATCCTGGCACTGTGAAAACCCTGATAAAGATGACATTTACAGTATAACATACACATTTTATACACTGCTAATAACAATAGACAATTTTCAAATTTTAAATAATGACAGAATGAAAACAAAAAATTCCAAAGTAACAATTTAATTACTGTTGAAAAATGCATATGCTTTTGATTAAAAAGATGAAAGGATTTCATATGATTAATTTATCACAAAAAGTGCATTGGCTACACACACTGGGACATTGACAAGTATCTCTTTAAATTGTGGCCTCAAACCAAAATTTGATTGATTGATCTATCAAAAATGTACACTTTCATGATGAAACAAGAAAAAAAAAACCTTGGTGAGCTAACTTTAGTTAATGCCCTAAGATTTTTCATTGTTCCTACAACATACAAGGATGTTGTACATTTCTAATGTTAAAAGAATTTCAGATAAAGCCGAAATGCTTTTCTTCGACCATAGGCATTCAATGACATGAGTGGATTAAAAAGCGTAATGGTTGGTGACCAAATTTAACCAAGTGAATAACCAACCCCGAAAGTGGGACTACCCTCACACGTACTGTTTCACCGTTCATTTCTTTTTCAGGGCATGAGTTGGCCATGCATACAAAGACAAGCAACATTCACATTTACATGGTTGCTGTATCATTTTGGATAACCCCAACACAGCAGGGAAGTGGTGGAATTAGGTTTCATTTTCGGGCATAAATGCTGGGAAAAGTCAAGGACAAAGACACTAACTGTATTCGTCATGGATGTCATTCTACATCAGTATAAAGAAACTTGACGCCGAGTGAAACTGAAATAAACTGTAAACGGGTTCCTGTCCAGGGAAAATGTTTGTTTCATTAGAACTTGACGAGATACACTTAACACTACTCAAAGTTAAGTACCACTTTTTATTTTGTCATTTGACTTTTCCCTGAAACTGTCCATTTTGAAAAAATGAGCATTTGATGTTTTGACACATTAAAAATCTTTTTTTATTCCAATGAGAACACCATCTAGACAAACAAAAAATGAAAGAACTACACCGTACTCATTGCTTGGAAAAAATTACAAGCTAAGAAAAAATGTGGTCCTTAATTTTTTTGAGGAGTATATTAACCATGACAGTTAATACATTCATTGTTATGAGGGAAAAAAACAGCCAGTAAGTGCCATTGACCATTTATGTAAAGCAAGCATACGACTACAGCTAAAATCCCTGTGCATAACTGCATATGACTTACTTTGACAGGATGAATGGTAAAAGTAAAATTAGTTCCATTGCTGAAGAGTATTTTGTAAGGAAAAAGGGAAAGAGATTACGGGTGGTTTTGAGGCACTTCTGGGTGTAAATCTTGGTGAATAAACAATTATGTAGTGATTTCTTCTATCATGGACATAACCAAGGTCCTCCAGTACATGTAATACACCAAATGTTGAGCCCTTTTGACGAATGAAAATCATTTTGCCAAAATGCAAAGCCATTCTACTAATGAACGAGAATCACAAAGTTTTATCCATCTAAAACTCAGGAACTAGGGGGTCAGGAATCCCTCTCTCTGGAATCTGTTCTTCAGTTGATTCATGTCCATTCCCCAAATGAGTTTTGTCTGATTTTTTTTAACATAGTGAAAACATACCACTTACACATAAATGTACACATTTTTACTCTCGTTGCATTTGAGTTTCCAACCAGAAAAATGAAAACAAGGTAAAAGTTTTAAGTACTGCATTTCGATACTGAAATTCGGATCAGATTTAACACTTACAATTATTGGGGGGGGGGGCTTCAAATGTGCACTGAAAATTTGTCTTTTTAGGAATAGATATTTTGAAGAAATTGAAAAAAACGTGAAAAACGTTAGGTGGAGAATAAGGATTAAGCCAAAAAAGGGAGGGGGGGGGACAACTGGGATTGGTTTAATTCCCCAGGGGAGAGTAACCTCACAGCCACAGTTTTGACACAGGCTTAACTGTGAAAATGCCTGACAAGAACGGCATATGCAAGTACAAGCTATACCTTCAATGAAGACAAGTGGGGCGTGAAATAACTACAAGTTTAAAAGAAAAGACACGCCCTATCAGTTTTCACCAGAGCAAACTGCCAAGATCAGGTTGCATGCTGTTGCCGAGTAAAACGGGTTACCAACCAAAGTTTTGTAGATTGTACATGTACACGGTTTGAGACTGGTTCCAGCCAAGTGCTGCGCAAGCAACCAAATGAGAAATGAAATGGGTGGTATGTATAGTGTGCGGAGAATGGGACCTAGATCTTGCTGATGGTTTGAACTAGTTGTCTACTCTACAAAAAAACAAACCTAAGCCTTAAAAAGGGGTACCAATAATCAGTTGCAAAAATGTGTAACTTGCTAAGCTTATCATAAGGTTTAAATTAACAAGCATAATTGATCATCAGGTGCTGTACATAATGCCCGACCTTGTCTAATTCCATCCAAATTTTATCATACACATTCCACATGGCAAGATATCACTGTAATTTACAATCTAAAAGAATTAAAACAAAGTATTAATCCCAGTGTTACCTTTAAGTCAATCTAGCATGGGGGGGGGTTTGAAACAATTCCACCCAAAAACCTCCCAAAAAATGTTTCCCTAAAGATAATTTGGGAAGTTACTGTCTGCTGCTGCATATCAACAATGCTAAGATTGTTACCAGACTGAAATTATCACTTGAACAGCTGGCCACTGAAATTTTGCACGTTTTGAGCATAAACTTTGTACAAAGGATTACATACAGAGACCAAATTTGAATCATTTTACAATTTACAACATAAAAGTACCATTGTTCCCCACCAAATCTCTTCTTCTATGGGTTCCTTCTTCCTTTACCTGATTAAACTAGAAAATTTGTCAGCAGGTTACAAAATATACTCATCTGTCCAATATCAGGTGCAACAGTACAACCGGAGGGGAGACAGAGGTTATGTGTAAATTGAAGAATATCAAAAGTTGTTATGTGAAAAGATAGAATACTGGGCAATCTGATGTACAAAGATTGGAACCGATGCAGCCATTGTTGAGGAAATGCAGCGGACATGTGTGTATGCTGTATACAGACACAGTTGTGGCCAAAGACCGTATAGCGCCGCGTAGCCGCGCAAGATGGGGAACTTCACCGTGAATACGCGTAAAATGTCATCACATGGGCGCCATTCTGGTTGGACTACGCCTGCTCGGTGCATGTTAATGCACAGGCGCAGGCGCCGAGGCAGGCACACACACACATGAAGGTTCACACTCGAATGGCGCCCATGGTGATAACACCTTTATGGCTGAATTATCCATCTTGCGCTTACGCGGCGCTATATAATCTTGGGTTGTGGCCTTGGTACAAAATTTAAATATACCTCTAAAACTATGCCAATGTGGAAGAAGTTAATCTACTTGTTTTCACGAATGTTTCTTTTGTTTTTTTTTTTTTAACATGCCACGTGAAATCTGCCCGGGCAGAGCCGTTATTGACCAATTTTTCTTTAAATGCCTATACATTAAATTTAAACTGTAATTACGGGTTTTGCCCGCAAAAGTACATCTCGAAATTTAAACTTAAAAAAGGGCCCCCTTTGTATGAATTCTTGGCATGGGGGGGATAGGGTGGAGGGAGGGATGTGGTTCGCTTCATGAAGACAGATGTATTCGACACAGCCAATCGGTTCGTCATCATACAGAGCAAATGCGTCCACTTACGGACTGTCACTTCTCTAGTCAGTGAGCTGCTCTTCAACAGGCCATGCCTGCAAACGATGAGTTTTGGTGACCATGGCAAAGCAAAGACGGGTAACCATGGAGAAATTCATAATGCACACACATCCATCAGTACTGGTGCTTTAAGGCGCCATTATTACCCCTGCTCATCAGGCTTTTCGTCGTTCCTTCAGCCATCTCATATCCCTGTGGGCGTATACAGCTCGACGCTGGCGTTTCAGACACTACCTCGATGATCAATCACAATAAGCCTCTGGCCTAACATTTATACTCTTGGGCAGAGAGAAGCAGGTGAGGGGTAACATGACTTGGCTCTAGGTCACAACTTATGCACCAAGGTCGGATTCGAACCCCTGACCCTATGACTGGGAGTTGTGATCCCTAACCACTCTGCCACATGTCCAAGACACAAGTTTATGCCCAGGTGGCATAGCAGGGCCATATGAATGGGCCGGACATCGGTCAAAAATATTGAGAGGCTCACATGAACACAAAATCTACTAGAGACGGGTTGTTCGCTAGAATGCCACGCAGCATACATGTACATTGGATTTGACTGGTTCCCAGCTGCTTTTATCAGCACAACAACTTGGCAAGCAAGGAGCTCCTAAAGAATGGACTCTGCTGATCAGGGGTTTTCCCCAGGCCTTGGCAAGAGGCTGTGGTATCATGGGCAGAGTGAATGAGTTTTAGGGGGACAGAGCAGATTGCAACATTCAGTGTTGTAGCGGAGACCATCACAGCACCAGACACAAAACCCGACACGGGACTAGTAAGTGAGACCGAAGACTCGTCGCAAGACCAATCACAAGACTAATGGGGTGAAAACTGACAAAGGAATGCTTGTTATTGCAGTTCATTTGAATAGCTTGTGACTGGACTTCAGACTGGAGGTCTTGTGATGGTCCTCCGGTGGTCTTGTGATGGTCTTACAGGTCTCAAATACAACATAGGCTATGTCTGACAACTGGACATGAGGTCTTCACGTGCACTTTTCTGAACCAACCACCAGCTTGCTTGGAAGTTTTCCTTTCTGTCCGCGAAGATCAGAGGTTGACAATCTCCGATAACTCAGTGCTGAGATGCAAAAGCTTGATGTTGAAAAACTATATTTCCTTTTTCTGTTGCTCTGCTATAAGTACCATTATCCATCCTCGGTGAAACTGAAGAACTTTCTGTGGTTCTTTTTTTGACCTACAATGGTCTATTCTCCGCAGATTAGCAGAAAGCATAATATTTGGGCCTGGCATTCAATCACTGCAGGCAACTGACAAACGTGAATTGTCAACTTGGTTTGATTAGTCATTTCTTGCCAAAGACACTTTGCCAAAAAAATCAGGTATATTGAAACTGCTTTCTGCATGGATTCTCCACAGTTTTTCTCCCTCCATAATAATTCGACATTCTAAAAACTGTTTTTTTTTTTGTTTTTTTTGGAGCACCTAGTCCGTGGCTCATCATTAAAAGATGTCGGGGGATCTGGAGTAGTTGCGATTCCAGTAGGTGCCCTTGTAGATCCAGTCCTGCTCGCCTGTGTTGGGGTTGGTATCCAGCTTGAACCACATCGGGGACCAGGCCTCCTTGGTCTTGGCACGGTGCTTGCGGGTGGCTCGCTGTTTCTCCTCTAGTCGGTGCTTTTCATCCGAGGCCGAATCTGAAAGGGGGGAGGGCAAAATGAAACGTTCAGCAGCATATCCAGGTTTGGGGATAAGAGCTGATCAAAAGTGGCAGTTGCAAATGGTTAGGAACGTTCTTGATCCAAATATCCGAGTGTGTGCCTGCCCCAAGTGCACGTGTAATTTGAAGGTCGCCATTGGAAAGATCAAACAGTTCAATGACATGTGATGGATGACCGATCAATCAGATTGTGGGGATTTATTCGGGTGTCGTATCATTACCTATGTCTCCGTTCTCCATGCAGCGAATATCTGGGCGGAACCTGGAGTCTGTGGGCGGCAGGTGGGTCTTCATCTGCTCAGTGACCTCATTCAGTCTCATGGCAAACAGCGTGAAGTTATAATACTGGTCACAAAAAAAAGAGAGCAGGTGACTTCAAAATGCTTTTATGACTGATCGTCAAGACACTACGTCCGTATCTCACTCGGAGCCGGGGACTGAGTAACATGCTGATGTCTAACACCCTGTCACATAGTGCCCGTGTGTGAAATTTCTACAATTTCGGTCCAAGGTTCACACGCACACAAGAACGAATGTGATTCATTGCAATTTTCAAAACTCTGCCTACATGTGATGGGCTAGCACTCCCCCGTGGCTAAGTAATCAGAGCAGCTAGCTTATTTCCATACGTGCATGTCGACAAAATCAGAATGAGGAATAAGTCAAGTTTTAACAAAGTTTATACATTGTAACTAGTCTCAATCTAATGAGTGTAAACTTTCAACCACAGCTGTATTACATGTGGGCTTAGAAGTCTACTTGTTGATATATTGACTGCTTGTGATGAGAATATTTACAATGTTTACTGACAGGTGTACGGGATTCTTTCACAAATATACTTGTACCTACAAGCTTTTTGTCAGGTGAACACACACAAAAACCCCTGCAGTCTCTAGAGCATTCATGTACACGCACTTCAGGCATACAACTTGGACTTTAACAACAAATGAGGAAATTCCAATCTTGACAAGACTCCGTACAGTGTTTTTCAATTTTCAATGGCATGAGCATGAAGTGAAAAACGAGGAAATCAGCTGATTCAAGGAGAAGGTGCATGCCCATACTTGAGATACAGGGGGGGGTTATAAATAGGTAACTGCCAAGGGGTGCACCATAAATATGTATGCATGTGCATATCGGCAGGAGCCAATGTTTTCAAGAGCTTACCACAATCAAACTTGAAAAGTTACAATTAACCAATATTATTTCTGAAATTATGTGAGAATGAACAGTATTCATCTGAGTATGTGTGAGTTCACATATCCAGTTTTCATGGTGGCTACATGTATGTAGCTGCGATCATTAACCCTCCTATGCTGAAGTCACTCTTTGGGTCACTTGGTAAACACCTCAAAAAAGCACAGCTGTGTTGTGTTGTGCACTGCACCAACATGCAAGAGAGTAACCTTGGGCACTTGTGCATATTTGTGCTGTAAAACTAAAGGAGGGTTAATAATAATAATATAGGTATGTATAAAGCGCCTTTAACACAGATCAAAGCGCTGTCCACCATAATTACCCCTGTTCACCTGGCGCATGAAACATTCCAAATACCATCTCAGCTCCCTGGGGAGTATACAGCTCACTGCAGCCATTTTGGCGCAACGCAGCTAAATCAACCTCAATAACCATCTCTGCCCTCACAGGGTACCCAATTACTCCTTGGTGGAGAGAGGCCACGAGTGACAAAGTGCCTTACCCAAGGGCACGCGCACCATGACCCCAGGCTGGATTCGAACCCGCAACCTGCGGCTTTACCCGCCGACTGCAAATCTGATACTCTTAACCACAAGGCCATGGTGCTCATCATCAATTTCATTTTGTCAGACAGCATCAGGTTTGGAGAGGTTTGCTTTTTGGGGGGGTTTTACACTACCTGTGAGGAGTTGTCTGGCCTCTGCGTGTTGCGCCACAAGAGCTCGGCATCGTTGAACTCTTCCCCCTCCGGGTTGAGGTTGCTGTCGTACATGACCTGTGGGAAGGGGTCAGATGGAAAAGGCATGAGCTCATCAAAGAGAATATTCGGCCATGAATATTGTCGATCAAGCTACTTACATATATGAGCACAATTCTCTGTTCTGCAGCAGTGTTGGTTTAATTTTTTTAATGAATGAAAGTTGAATTAATAAGAAGTAACCACTGGACTTAGAATCTTTTTGTAGTGACTGGATTACTGGTTTGACACCATGACAGACCTTAATGTTAGAGTTCAGAGGGGCATGCATTCCCAGTGTATGCTTCCCAGAAGGGTGAGATCAGGGGGATGAAATCCATGAAACATTCCAGCACGGGATTATAAAAATGGTGCCAATAAACTGTCATTTCTCAGGGCTCTTGAAACAAGAAGTTCCAAGTGTTTGCAAAATTTGTGTATTTTTGGTCATAGACTTCTGATATCTACCACGTGACCAGTTTCTTGACAAGTGAGTTTTCACAACACAACATGCATTTGGTGTTGATGTGATAAATCTGCTCGCAATCCAATTTGCGTTAAACACCGACAAGCATTTGGAACACCTAAAGTGGTGGAACTGTTAGGCCAAATTCTTACGTGATCCGAGGGGTTTCCCGAGCCGTATCCAATGCTGTGCCGATGACGTTTCTTCTCTTCTTTTTTGGCATCCCCGTAGTCTTCGGGTTCCATGGCATAGAGATACTCAGTCCACTTGCCAAACAGCATGACAATCTTCCTATCCCTGTCCAACAGGGAAAAGGTACAGGTGAGGTATGACTGTCAACATTATGGCCTCTGTGCAGAAGTGAGCTCTCACCGGTGACTGAGGGGGAAACACGCAAGCTTGAGGGCTCCAAACACGCTCAACCTCCGCAGATAAGTTTGAGCCTGTATGTGTAAGTGTGTGTGTGTGTACACCCCATGGCACTACATTCAGAGTGAGCCAGCATGAGTTCATAAGACCCCCGTGTTGTGTTACAGGAAATCCTTGTCTGTACTCATATCCAATGTGAAGTGGTTACATCAGTATCTGGTTCAGCAAGGAAAAATTGACCGGGAAGATCTGAACCTGTAAATTCTTCAACACCATACCAGTGGCCTGTATTCCAGAGTTTACGGGTTCAATTCCAACTACACTCACTTTGTTTTCGCTAACAAGAGGAGACATAAAGTCCATAGAGAAATTCTTCCTTGATGATTGAGAGCATCAAGAGAGATGCCAGCAGGACGGACAATGCGCTGTGTGAAAGAGAGAGAGGGGAGGGGATGCCTTTCTGGGAACAGCCCGGGGCAACTTACGTCTTGTCCGTGATGTAACCCTCCACTTTGTGGAGGTCCTTGCCGAACCAGCCGGCTGGTTTGAAATGGAGGAAGCACTTGTGACCTGTCTTGTGGTTGGTCATCTCCAGGAGGCCGTACATCTCAATCCACAGCTTACCCACGATGAGATTGTGCAGACAGCTGCTGGGGTTGTGCCATGTGTACGTCTCATTGTACCTGGGGTGAAGGTCGGCGGCGGGGCGGGGGGGGGAAGGTCGGGGCGGGGG